GGTCAATACAATCATCTGTTCTTTTCTGACCGGCTTCTGTCGCGCACAATGAGGCGCCGTCATCGGAGACCGATGTCTCTCAAGCATGTAGGTTTATCATTTTCAGCTTCTTAAATTTATACAAGAAATCGATCGACCTCAATCCCTGCAAATTACAAAAGTCATTATGGGTGCTTGAATCCATCGCGCATGCAATTTACATGCGATTAATTCAATTGATTCCTGCACCGGTAGAGTCAACAGGGCCGGAGCAGAACCGCAGAACCTGAAATGTCCGGACGCAGATACACTGAATCGTCATGGGGGCAGAATCAGCCGAGGCCGCCAAACAAACAAGTCGGTTGTAGCTATCTGGCTTTACTTCCTCACTGGTGACCAAAAACGAGCCAAACAAAGGTTTCCCTCATAGCCACTGTGCTTTCCTCCACAGCGACAAGAGAGCGTGTGAAAGAAGCATCAAGTCGTCGTGTTTTTGTCGTTCACACTGGCTCTCTACGCGGTGCTGTTAGCGTACCAGGCTAACGCTACCTGGTGTTAGTCGCTGATGCAAAACCTCACCTCGGGGAGCCGTTCTATTTCTATGGTTGTAATTGGCATTTTTGGTTGCAATCCACAGAAAACTGAGACTGTTGTTTTACGAAACGCCACGTAAAAGACTGGAACTAAATCAGTGAGGCCCGTATGCGTCACAGTGAATTATTGAATGACAAGAAACAACAATTTCTCCCACTTTCTGAAAGCCACTCGCCTCTCACCCCTCTCTGTCACCTCGGGCTTTTGTAAGATCGGGCCTTTTGGAACAAGGTAAAAACTACACTCTGTTCTAAATTAAATTGTTCCTTTTAAATCTGTGCGTGAGGTGTAAGTGCGCCATTTGAAGAGCACGAAAAGTCAGCCTGATGTTGCCTCTCTGTGGGCGCCGAGTGCCGACCTGCCAGCTCCGTGTGCCAACTCGTGGCAAACCCACCGCTGGTGTTATGTCAGCTGCAGACCCCCGTGACATCTGACCACTCAAAGCCTGCCGCACGCAGAGAAGAGAAATTGCCTCCAGGTGTTTCTCGCCCGCACCCTCCACCCCCCCGGAAGAAGATGTGAGAGGCTTGTTGGTGGGCTGATTTGTCAGGGTGGGGGGACGGACGGCATTCTGAATCCCCGTGTCAAGTTGTCGCTGATGAATTGCGGTGGGCATGGAGGCAGTGGGGCGGATGAGTGGGCTTGTGCTTGTTCAAGTAGATGTGATTAAGGAAAATTACCATATTCAACTCCTGGTGATTGGGTGGTGTATGACTTGTCAAGAACTTCACTTTTTAAGAGTAATTGATATCAGATAATTTTAACTATTAGTGTATAGCTCATCAGCTTCACATTTGCTCTTTTTTATTCGGGGTCCAAATGCATAAAGAGTGTATAAGAGAGATAACGGCTTGATAAGTACGGGACAGACGCAAACCTGCGCCTCCTCTTATCAAACACGTATTTAGCAACCCACTTACAACTCATCTGGATTCCATGGCAACAGCTGAAAATCTGGACGGTGAGAATCAGTATGAACAGAAAGGCATTTCAGGCACTCCGATACGCAAAGACATTAAAAAGCTTTTACTGTGATGGTTAAATCATTTAAAAAACAACAGACTTCAAATACTGTGGGAGATAATGGGTGTGGCCTCACCTATATACAATCAATACAATGACACAATGACAGGTGCAGACAAATAAATGATGCAAAAAACACAAAATAGTATGAAATGATTAAACAGGGAAGCCTATTAAGAGAAAATAAAAAAGCATTAGAGAAAATGGGATATGGACAAAATGTCCTCCAGGATGCATCCAATGAATCCAAGAGATCCAAAAAGCCTCCTTTCTGTAAGGTGTCCCTCCCCCTGACCAAAGGTCTAATGTTCAATACCCTCTGTGCACAATAATCATAACACTATCTAGCCGCAGGGTAATCTCCATTCCTAATTCTAACTGCATTGTAATGCCATGAATTAAGCCATTGAATGTCCCAATGCTAAAGATTTCTCATTGCACGGAGAAGGAATTTAACACATTAAACCTTTGGTCAGAGGGGGGGGGGCGACATAATGCTTTGTATATTCACGCATGCCTTTCCCAAAAGATACATCATAGCTTACAGATTTTCACGAAGGCCTCCTCTCCCCTTTAAAGAGATTTAAAGAGTAGAGACGTCCCTCATGATGGAGAACTGACAGCAATTTCGGGTCATAAGGTGGATCAGCGCGCAGATATTGAGAAACAAGGAGAGCCGAAGGAGATTTGGCCCAGTGCTCAGTCAGGCGTTACGAAGCCGCTTTGCTCAATATGTTTATTTAGAAACCCCATAAAGCAACGCGGCGGCAGAGCGCCTCTGTGGCTTCATATGCGTTCCCCGTCAGCGAAGAACTGGTTGATAGGGAGGTTAATTCGGGTTTACTCTTACTCATTGGCACTAAAGCATATTCAATTAGTCGAACAGGGAGCTCGGCCACTTTCCGCTGCTGTTTCTTACATTAATCTGGCAGAGAGAATTAAAAGAGCTTTAGAGAAAAGCGCGGCGCACTGACAAGACTTGAATTTAAATTCATGCAAATTGCATTTAGAAGACTTGAAGATAGATGGGTGTCTTACAGTTTTTTTCCCCTCATTTAATAATGTCACTGAGGTATGACGATATTCTGACAAGTGTTTCACCCATTTGGGCCTTTTAAGCTTAAGAAATATGCACATTCGCTTCACACACGTCGCCCTCTACAGCAGTCGAGAGGCCTGTGAGATGTTGCGGACGTCAACAAAGTCACATGCTATGCTACCATGCTAGCTCGCCAACATTACAATGATTAATTAATATTAATATATCATGTATCCTATAAGGAACTTAAATGTCAGCCCAGCGGAAATATTGACCTGCAGGTGGCACTACATGGAAATGATCTGTGGAGTCCTTCAGTCAAGAGTATTTTTGAGGCAAAATGTTGTAAGGTTACCAGTCGTAGACATTTAATTCGGGATCAAAGTAGAGAACACAGACAAAATAACTTGATAAGTGACAAAATCTCTCAGAGTGTGATTTCCAGCGACGTAGAAAAAAAAGGAAAACTCAACATACGCGCTCTGTGCATTCTCACACTCGACTCATAAAGAATGGATGCTGCTTAATATATTTTTCATCAAGCCATTTTGACTGTAATCACATCACAACAAGCAATATGCTGGTTCCCAGAAAGCACTGCATTACAGAGTCGTTTTGTGCACTTTGGTTCCACGAGCCGCAAAGTGGAGCGTAATCATGTCGGTTGATTTACACGTGTTGGATACGGAGTCCGGGCGCTGGGCTGTTAAGCATCTTCTGCAGGTCCGACTGGATCACTCTCGCGTGGTCACGTGTCGCGTGTGATTACTGACTCGAAGTGGAGCAGCGTCTCCATAAAAACGTACACGTACCCCCCCCCCCCCCCTCTCCCTCTCAGTTTAATGGAGACACATCTGCACGTTCGAAGATGCGCTCAAGATGAAGCTCCACTCCGGCTTGTCTTCATCGCTAGTCGAGCCCCCTCGGAGTGAGTGGCACTCGGCGGTCCTGAGGGACATGTGGCTCGGTGTGACCTGCCGGTGTCCTTCACTGTCGTTGGCATCGCTCCCAAAGTCCCCCCCCCCCCACCACCACCTCCCCCAGGCTGCACTGCCCTGCGCTGCTCTCGGCAGATACCCCCACCTTCTTACACAGGTTCTCTGCGTTCACACCAGCTCTTTCATGTCCCCATCGAGTCCTCAAGGGGGGACGCACTCGGTGACACAGCGGTATTGGATCAGAACACAAACAGGGCTGCAGTCATTTCCGGAAGGCTCCTTCACTTATGGCAGTCGGGACACATAGAGGACAGTGTCATCTTCAGGGGATTAAACCGTATATGTTGTAAATACCATTTTTTAAAGCTGCTGTAATGTTGTTGCTGGTATTCTTGGCCACTTAGATGCAGAAGAACACAGCAAGGCGCGAAAAAACTGCATCCTTTGTGCAGGGATTGTCCAGCTTAGCCTCTCGTGGAACCAGTTTTCTGCAGCAGCATCAGGCCGCTGTTTTCAGCTAACGGGACCAGATAGACCCGAGCCATAGTTAAAGTAGTACCTCTTTTTGAGCTGCTCTGTTGGATGGCAGTAGATTTTTACAAGTGCACTCAGTCTATTATGCTGCACACAGCTAAAACGTATGCAGTCTAATGCATCACCTCAGCTCTCACCAATCAATTTTGGTTGTGTATTTCTTGGTGTTTTGGGGCACAGTGCCAACAAAGCACTAGCCCGCGTGTTCAATCGAGATTCATGGCTCCGTAGTTTGCAGAATATGCTGCATAACTGTGGAGGACCAGTGTTTCTGATTAGTGTGGCACATTCTCCTATTTATTCTCCCTCTAGTCTCACTTTTATGAATTCAGGGACTGTGGGGCCCAATGTAGCTGGAGCTGTGAAATGTGGGTTTATTTATTCTTTCTATATATAATTTGTTCTTTTCTTTTTCTTTTCGGTTCCTTTAGAGAAACATAATGGATTTTGAATTGTAGCTTTCTCTCCTACCGGAATAGACGTTCTTGTTTATAACGTTTGTGGAATGATGCGTTAAAAATGTAAAGAATGTAATGAAACTGCTTTGACTATGTGTATTTTTCCCTGAATGGTATCTACGTCCTGTGGGTCGTTGCTTTAATCAAAGTGTTGATCTCTCCATTCACGGGCTTCCTTGCCGGCACCTATTGTACGTCTCTTTAACGTCTTCCCTTTTAATAACGTCGGTCTATTCAGTCTGTTTTCGGACCATGAAATGCTGAAAGATTAATTTACCCACAGCTGTTTTGACTAATCATTACACCGAGTGTATCGCGGTTATTTCACAAAGACAAAAGAGAAGGACGAGCAGTGTTGGGCTTTCAAATGTGCGTTCTCATTCGGTGCCTCGGCAGCGCGTGCTTGTGCACTGACCTTGTGCTCTCTCCACGCAGGTACACCCTTTGCTGATGCGCGAGAGGCGCTCGGAGTCTCACAGGAACAAGCTACTGCGGCGGACAGTCAGCGTTCCTGTGGAGGGCAGGCACCATCCCGAGATGGGTGAGCAGGCAAACTTCTTTTTATGGATTTTCTGAAGTTTAAGTCGAGGTCCAACAAAGTGGAAAAAAGAATAAAAATCAAATGATGACTTTTTGTTCTCAACTATATCTGAACATTCTTGTTCATTTTGGTTTTAAGAAGAAAGATTATCACCTGGACCACCTAGTTAGCCGGCTTATAACAAGACAGTTGCATAGCAACAACAATGATATAAAGATCCTTGCATCCTTTGAGCTGTGTTACGAGCGGCACTCGCAGCAGCACTCTGCAGCCGAGCGGAGATAAAAGCATCTGATCGGCGCTTGAGGCAGCTCTTTTCTCTCCGCCAGATTCTGCCTCGATATTCTTAGGTCGGGTGATTCATCAGATTTCTTGTTTTCAATTGAAATTCTCGCATTTTTTACCTTGATGATCATGCATATCTTTTGCGTTCCCTCACTCTTCATTTCCTTGTCTATCTCTCTCGCTCTGCTTTCATATCTCTGCATGCTCAGCTCTGTGAAACTGGACCTCTGGTAGCTCTCCGCCTCGGTTTGTTTGGCGTGTCTCGGTCTCTGCGGGCCCATCTACTCTAGTTTTTCAACACACCCTTCAATTTTAAGGACCCCCCCCCCCTCCCCCACCCCTCCATTTATGAATCTGCCGTGGCTGCCGCCTCAACAGTTTTCATATGAGTGACTCTCTGACCTCCGAGCAGTCAAGCTGACAGATGAGCCCACGTGGTCCCACCACGTTGGGACGTATGCTGACCTAGCAAGGCCAGTTTGTGTCGCCCGAGCGTATTGTAAACGTATGCACGTATGTTAGCATGCTACGCTACAGGCCACGATGAACCGACACCACTGTGGACCGTCTTTGCTTACTCGGTCCGAAAGAGACAAATGCGCTACGGGCAATTAGTAATTATCAGATCTACGGAAAAATGAAATGGGGGTTGTCCCCGGCAACGGTCGTAGATTACGTCCATTACATTATTTTATAATGTTCAGTGTTGGATACCGATGAGCTGACGTAGGTTCCGCCCATCAACAACTCTAACACACTATATCGCTTGTTTAATTCAGCAAAATTAGCAAAACAAATGACTTGTTGCTAAACTAAGCTAGCTTGAGGTAAACTGGCCGTTGGCGCATATTTACCCTACAGTCTTCAGCATGTTTTTTTCACACACGTTGCGTGTCACCACTGCAGTAGTTCGACACACAGGAGGATCTTTGACAAAGGAGCGGGGACATTTTTGGAAACATTTATCTCCAAAACGTTGAATGAGCTGCATCTTTCACAAAATTGTAAGATGTGATCCGGCCACCATCAACGGATTCAAATCTGTCCGTTCACATGCTCCGACAGAAGCTTAAACTGCAGCTGCTGCATGTCAAACACACACCCATGTGTTTGTGACAACATTAATACTTCATCCCTGATTCATTATTCATCAGAGGGGTAAAAGCCGGCATTTTACACAAGATATTGATGAATGGAGACATTTGACCACAATCCCAGCTGGTTGCCTGATGCGGCGACACCGTCGGATGGAAGATATCGGGCTCCACGTTCGATATGCGATTAGTCTGACGCATAATGCCTCAAAAGGCTTTCTTTCACTCCCGCGTCATAACACATTAGGAGATGCAGACGCATTCACTTTCCTCCGTCCTCCGGGTTTCTGTACCTTTTAAGGTTCCAAAAAGGATGGCAAGTCGAGGTGGTAATTACCACATAGTGAAGACATTCCTTTTGGTGGATAATTACAGTGCAGCATAAGCATTTTATGCAAATATGAGGTTTAATTAACTTTTCATGATTGTGTCAGGGAAAAAATGACTTTCCATAACTAGACTACGAAATAGTTCTTCCTCTCGTGTTTTTGTGGCAGACAACTGCATCAAACCAATGCATCATTAGTTATTTTACAGTTCTGACTAATCAAAATGAGATGTTGGATTAAGTTTCTGATTGAACTTCTGATCAGATACCCAATAGACTTCAACGTAGAGAGATTACCAATAACATGTGTATTATTTATCTGATAATGATGTTTTTTTACCCAATTTTACGATCCATGCCTTTGCGGGCTGTTTTTATTTTTATTTTCATGCTCTGAGCACGACATCTTCTCTCCGGTTGTACTCACACACTCACACACTTACACCACTTTGATTCCCATCTATATTCTGAAGGTTTTTTGCTAAGGGGTTCATATATAATTCATTGCCTGATTTGTAGAATATTTTATTCCTAAAAACATGATGGAAATTGATCTTATTGTATGTCTGTTGACAATATTTTCTTATTCATGAGTGTGACCTCGTGGCACAAAGAATCCTCTCCGTAAAACCTTTGACTCTGAAATGTCGACCAAAGGAAACAAGGAAATGCTAAACGCTTCCTGCAGTTTCAGGAAAGATGAATTGTCTTATTGTAAGTATCATCTGGGGAGTGTTGATTCTTATCGGTTAAGACGTTTATGCTGTATTCAGTAATGCAGCAGTTCTGTAATCTCCACTGCCTGAAGTGAGTTGAGGACACATTCATGCTAATTTCCAAAGCATTGTGACATGAAAAATCCATATTTCACTAACAGTTGTCATAGTAAGACGCACATTGGGAAAACAGAAAGAAAGCCTGCGCGTTCTCCCCGTCTCTCCCTCATTAACCTCTCCACAACGCGAGATGTGTCACATGTGATAATCCCCACTAATGAATTTGGCCTTTTAATGTTTTCTGTTAAAATTGTAAATTGACTTCATCTAAATTTTGCTCCGTCATTAGAGGAATCGTATTATCTGAATGGCTTAGCCGCAGGGAGACAAAAAAAAACAAAACGCAACACAACAAAGCTGATTGGTTATTAACAGTTGTTCAGCAACAGTGGTTTGAAAATGCTCGTCTCTTCTCCCCCCCGGTTTGTCCTTGCAGATCTCACTTGTTCCTTCAGCCATCTCGGCTTAGCAGACAGCATTCCTTCCTCACAATGAGTGACCTTCACACAACATTGGAAACGTGTGTTTCTGCAACGATGCGGTATTCCGGGCATCGTGTTTTCTTCAGTATCTGCTCAAAAGAATTTATTCAAGATTTAGGTTTGAGGCACACAGGAAAAACATGGTGTTAGACTTTCCACCGTTAGTGTTAAGACGAGCGTCAATGGGTCGCCCCGATCCTCGGGAAGACTCAAACTAAAGCAGAAAGGGGATGTTTCTCAATTATTTTAGCAATTTGTTCTTCACCGTCAAGGCGTGTTTTCTGCAGATATTAGATCGGTGTCAAGAAGCACAAACAGCAGAAGCACACGAATGTCTTCTCCTGTCTGCTCAATATACAAATATACATACAAGTGACTGCTTTGATAGTGGAGCCAGTTTTTTCTTGTTGCTCCACTGTCTTGCATCCCAAATCGAATCATTTTTTTGCCGTGGCGTACCCAGACATCTCCCCACTGCTTGTTTGTGTTGCTTTAGAAGGTACGGAAATCAGAGCATTACTAAAGCAGCAAGCTACTGTTTGATAGTTTGCGAATGTTGCACTGCTGGATTTTATGGAGGGTATTTTGTGTCTTTTTTTCCCCACTGTGGAATAAACTTGGAATTGGAAAAGGATTATACAAACTTTACAAAGTTTGCAAGACCGTAAGTGAATGATAATGCATTGCTGCAGTATCACCGCGAAGGCACTTTGCAAGCGCATATATGCGGGAGAAACCAAGCCCTTCATCTTCAAATGCGCGTGGAAAACACGATTGACAACATTGATACGGAAAGAAATGAAAACGAATATTGAATCAAGCATGCAACTTTGAGTTCAGGAGACACGCCGCTGCGTTCCGCCTCTGAATTCAGCGCCGCGTTTCTGTCGACTCAGCACTGGTTCGGAGCGCTTTGCCCCCGGCTGACCTTCGAGTCCGAACCAGCAGCTTGTACTCTTCTTTCTTCTTGTTTCATCGACACCAGCTGTCAACTCAGCGCACTGCCGAGGATTTGGGTCATCAGCAAAGGCGTGGAAGCTGTCAGCCTGTAAGTGTAGTTATCACATATTCAGATTTTGAACCCCCTCCAAAAACAAAAAAATATATAAATGTTTAAGAAGAACCACACAAAGGGACATTTTGAATAATATTTTACTGCCCTTTCTAGTGTTGAATGTTTTACTCTGCCTCTTTACTCCGCGATGAAGACAAGCTGGATTAAAAAAATGTATTTTCAGGCGGTCGCCGTGCGATATAGAACGGCATAATTAGCTGCTTCAGTGGCTTGAGCTCAGTGATAAGAGTTCATTTAGAGGGTTATGACAAAAAAGGCCTTTGGCACCAGCGGCTCCTTGAGTAGCAGCGATACTGTGCAGGCGGACGCTTTATAAACCTTGTGATCCATTCCGAGGGGAAAGTGAACCTCTTCCCCTGTGAAACTGGTGTTTGGAGGGATTTGCTGAATCATCTGCCTGTCTTGTCTTTGGAACTGTGAATGAATGCAAACGATTTGCTGCACTCTTGCGTCGGGCTCTCTGATGGACGCCGACCCAGAGGCCCCCTGAAAACACTTATGCGCGTCGAACCAAACTGCGTATGGTTCGACGCGCGCTTTCCCGAACCCATTAATGTGTATCGGATGGTGGTTTACTGAATTGCATATTCTCATGCAAATGACTCGTTATCTAACTGGGAAAGTTGTGGGAATCCCCCCCCCCTCCCCCCCAAAAGTGCATAACGAGGCTTAAACCAAATCGAAGGCTCGGTGTAACGTGGCATAAATTAGTCATGAGAAAAAACACTAATGTATTGATAGGTTGGTGGCGCTTTAGTTTAATTTTACAACAGCCCCTTGATGTGTTAGACAACGAGCCGAGATCACACGGATCCATACGCTGGACGCCAATGCGAGTCTGTTTAGAACAGATGGAACCGTCTCAACGAGTTGGACAGGTGGACCGATGTTCATGGTCCACACAGGAGCCATTTATTTATTACCTGGGGACCTCCGATGATTAGGATGCTTTCATATCCG